CCAATTCACATATATTAAAAAAAATGCCAGTAACTTCAAAACATCATCCAAGTATATATCTTTTTTTACTATAGTACTGTAATATGGTAGAACAAGACATGCCAATATTTTTATTTGAACAAATTATATAGCATCCTTTTGCTTTTCTATCATTTTAAGTTACCCGATATAAATTAAAAGTATTTTAAGAAATCTTAGTACTTTTAAATGTAATTTATAATATTCATATATATTTTACTGTACTTTTTAAATTTCTTTCTATTTTATTCAATATATTTTTAATACGTTACATTATTAAAGTAGAAAATTAAAGCACACTAGAAATTTTACATCTTTTGAGTGGGAGATGAAAATACAAGAGCAAAGGTAAGAATCTCAAATTGAACCATTATTTTTTTTTTCCCATTTTGCTTATCCTCCATCCATTCTTAAAATAATTTTCTCCTTCATTTGTATCCATTATAAAAAGTCTTTTTCGCATTCTATTTAAATATCACTTTTCACGTACTAATTCTTTCAATATCTATTATATATATTCACTAATACTAATTTACCATCACGCTTTATATATTCCTATCAGATTAATTAAAGATAATTTGGAAAAGTAAAAAACAAAAATATTCATCTTTTAAATTTCATAAAATTCAAAATGGGTAGGAGATTTTTAGACGGAGGACGTATACAAATTAAATAAGCTATAACGTTTCATTAACATGATATTAATTTGTGAAATGTATGCTAAATAATTTTAAAACACATGTCCTTTCTCAATGTAACATTTAAACTTTTTAATTTTCTAAATAACTTAAATAATGTCTAATGGCGGGAATAATGTCCACCATGATGATAAACATTTAGTTTGAACAATGTCCCGTGGCAGACTGGCAGTGAATGTTTACTTGAATTATGTTGCCAATACACTATTTTTAAATGTCATATGAGCAAAAAATAATTCCATGCAATAAAACTTGAAACCAACTCAGTTTGATTGGAATGATTATGTAATGATAGAATTTGGGATGGGGTATAGACAACAGGATTGGGTAATAAGACACTTGAGTCGAATCACATTAAAAGATTGAATCCAATCGATTAGTTAGTTTAACTCAAGAACTTATATACCGATTATTTTTCTCACACTTATCCGATGTGGGATACTCTTAACACTCCCCCTCAAGTGGACAACCGGGCCATTTTGAATCTAACCGGTTGACCACTTGCAAATGAACTCCCATTCCCTTGATTTTTTTTGAGCGCCAACACCTAAAGGACCACGAGCCGCTGGGTATGGACTTCCAGACGAGCAATCGTGTTAAACGAGCCACAAGTCGTTGGATACAAACTCCACACGGACAACTGGGCTAAAGACAAACGGGCCGCTAAGAATGAACGTATAGACGGACACCTTTACAAACGAGGTGGGCCAAAACCTGCTCCGATACCATGATAGAATTTGGGATGGGGTATAGACAACAGGATTGGGTAATAAGACACTTGGGTCGAATCACATTAAAAGATTGAATCCAATCGATTAGTTAGTTTAACTCAAGAACTTATATACCGATTATTTTTCTCACACTTTTCCGATGTGGGATACTCTTAACATGTAAAGTCCGATAACTTCGAAGAATAAAATATGAAAATAATGTTGTATGATGGGTTAAATCTATTTTTAGTCCGTATAAAATAAGCTACTTATTTTTGTCACTATAAAAATTGTTTAAATTGTTCTTACAATTTTATTTTATTATATTTTGGAAATGGTCCTTAAACGTATTTAGCATGTTTAATTAGTTGAGACACACCTAGCTTTTCATACTCACATTGTAGTCTTGCATTTTTAATTAAATTGACTTAATATTCATGCCTTAAAATTTGTCTTTATTCATATATTACATTTCTAATTTTCAAATTAATTGGGAATATGATATAGTTAAATTTGGAAATTGAGGATGTTATTTAATGAAAGACGCAATTTAGGGCATGAGAAATATGTTTGGAGCAAATAGATCACACATGCCAGACTAAACTTCTGATGAGTACACAAAATTATGCTATCTCAACAAATGAGAAGACTTATTATTTATATGTTTAAGGATCATTTTCAATATAACAAATTTAGTAAGAATGACTAAACAAAAATCATTTCAAAGGTACCAAAAACAAAAAATCACATATGTTAACAAGATTAAAAATATAGTATTTAACTCTTGCTACTAAAAATTGCGGATTTGGCACGAATTTTGGGCTTTTTGGCACACATACTAGTTTTAAATTTTAATTTCTGTGCCTAGACTATTTGACACAGATAGAGAGGATGCCAATTTGAAGTTCCAAACTCATTGACATGGGGGATGTGCCAAAAGTTGGAACACCGTTTGGCATCAGTTTTCCGTGCCAAGTTCACGGCGCAGATTTTTAATATGGCACAAAATTCATCCGCGTCAACATACGTAATGTTTAATTACGTGGCAGATAGGCACAACTTAAATTCATGCCAATAGAAATCCACCATAATTTTAATTTTCAAGTTTTGAAATGTTAGCACGGAATGCGTCCCCAGAGGTGGGAAAAGAGGAGAGAGTCGCATAAGAAAGGAGAGCGTGGCATAGTTAGAGAGAAAAATAGGTTAGAGTTTAGAAAAAGTGTGAAGTGTTGATTATATATTTAGTGTCTAGGCACAGATGTTGGCACGAACGTGTTCGTGTCAAAATCTATATTTTCAATGTGTCTAACAATTGATAATACTGAAACTGACGTGTTTGTCACAAAATAGATTGAGACAGATTTAGGCACGAACGTGTCGTGCCAAAAGGGAGCAATATTAGCACCAGTCAAAATTCAAATTCTATATTTTAGATAATAAGCACGGACTTTGTCACGGACACGACAAATTTCACTTTGGCGCCACTCAAATTTCAAAATTCAATATTCAATTTTCGTTATTAGGCATGGATATTGATCTTCGCCCCTAAGGATTTTGGCACGACCAATAAAAAATATATAGATTTTCACACGGTTGAGACATAGATTCAATGTTTGTTACATTGGCACGATGTTTGGCACGCTTAAGTTTGTGTCAACACAAGAACGAATGGAAACACGCCATTTGGATTACTTTTCTGTGTTCCTCTCGTCACACCGGAGTCCGTGCCAATTTTTCCATGCCAAATCTGTGTCTTTTTGTAGTACCTTTCAGTTTCTATTCTTTTGGGTTGGAATTTCAGAGATGGATGTTGGAAGAAACTAGAAGGAGTTACAAGAAACTCGAAAGATTTAAAAGAAATTAGAAAAATTTGGAAGAAACTGGATACAGTTTAAAAATGTTAGAAGAATTTATGTGTTAAAAAGTCACTCTATTAAATGATTATCCAAATAAAGTTGTACTATAAGAAAACTTTAATTTTAGATAAAAAAGAATTCATCCTTGTTCGTGTTTGATGTGGTTTGTTGTAAATATGGATATATGATATTATTGTGTATTTGTAATATCTAAATTCTTTTTTAAGTTTTTTTTGAACAGAAATGCAAATATATATTATCAACAAAGCATACCAAAATACAAAGGTACAATCAATTATAACACCCAACACAATTAACTGAAAATACTCCTGTTTTACTCCTATTTTTGATCTCATATAGTTATCTACATGGAACTTAATTTGCTGAGTAATCTCCTCACTGGACATATGCAAGCCTTGGTGCACCACTCGATTACAAGCTTTCCAAACAAAGTAGATTGTTGATGCTAGGATAGAGTATAGTTTTAGTCTTTTCTTTCCTGGTTGAGCCTTTTTAACTCCTCCAAACAGCTCATTCAGATTATTACTTTTGAAACTGTAAAGGCACCAATTGTGCAGCTTGTTGTATGCTTCTTCAGTAAAGGGACATTTACAGAACAAATGATGGGCATCTTCTGGGGCAGCTTTGCATAAGGGACATGTTGTGTCAATATCAAACATCTTGGACAACCTGACTTTAGTTTGAAGTCTGTTCTTACACAGGAGCCACATGATGAATTTATGTTTGGGTATTGAGAGTTTGTTCCAAACTAAGTCCCTCCATTCTACATTCTGTTTTTGACCTAGCAACCATTGATAGCCTTTATCGGGGGAGTAGTTTCCGGTGTTCCTCATCTCCCTAAATTTGTCTCTAACTTGGATAAGCTTCTTCTAATGGAAACAGTCATCATTTCTATTATGATAATCTCAGATGCTGACTCCTTTGAGATAATTGCTATGAATCCACTTGATCCACAGTATATCTTTTTTCATAGCAATATCCCACACCAGTTTCATGACATTTGCTTTGTTCCAAGAAATCAAGTCTTTAAAACCTAGTCCTCCATATTTTCTTGGTAAACAAACTTCCTCCCAAGCCACCAAGGCAGTTTTCTTATGATCAGGAGTGGTGATACAGCACATGGGAGAGCCACACCCTAAAAGCTAGCTGTTAAGGTGGGAGAACCCTTGGCTATATAAACCCATCACCAAGTTCCCCATTTAACCGGTGTGGGACAATGAAATCAGTCTGTATCATTCGACCCCCCATAAGGCCCAACATCCTCGTTGGTCACGGCTACATTGGTCACGGCCACGTTGGTCACGGCTGGTTTCACCAGGCCACCACTCCATGGGCCACCACTCCGTAGGGCACCACTCCGAGTTGGCTCTGATACCATTGATACAGCACAAGGGAGAGCCACACCCTAAAAGCTAGCTGTTAAGGTGGGAGAACCCTTGGCTATATAAACTCATCACCAAGTTCCCCATTTAACCGGTGTGGGACAATGAAATCAGTCCATATCATTCTCAAAAGAAGGAGTTTGAAGTGACAATTCCTTTGTGATCCTTACAGATCCAAAGAGTTTGAAGTGGCTTTTGGAGCAAAAGATTTCATCAACCCCTTTCCAACAATTCTGGTTATCCAAACTTATGAGATTCCAATATGAAATACATTATAGGAAGGGAACTGAAAATGTGGTTGCAGACGCTTTATCAAGGGTAAAATGTAAATTATTATTACCCTAATCAGAATGGTACATCAATGTCAAATGCTGAACCATAAAAATGGTTCCATGCATGTATAAGACAGTTACAACAACAAGCCCAAATGGGTAACAAACACACAACAATACAAAGTTGGCACACAGGCCGTACAAAATAAATATCCAGAAACAAATCAACAGTGTAATCCAGCACGTCCATTCTCTTGCGGAATCCACTTCTAGCTTCCAGTCCCCTGCACCATCAACGGCAATAATACGGTAGGCAAAGCAAGAGCAAAGAGGGAGTATATATTGGTGGCACAATCAAACTCCAACCATACGTACTCCCTCTCAAGGATCAGGTATCGCATAAATTCACACAGGTGAATCGCAAAGCTACTTCAAAAGTCGGTCCAAATTTCTTCATCCATGGTTGCATCCAACAGAAGCAAGAGTTATGTTATCCTTGCCATAGATACCACCGGCATGCCAAGGGCCACGTCCCGACTAGCAGAAGTTGTCCACCATTGTCGAGGAGGACAACTTAACACCAAAGTGACCTCACCCTGCCATACAAACCCCTCCCCTAGGTCTACGGCCAGAGTGCCCCCCCAGGTATTTGGCAAGCATCCCCATACAGACGAGGCACAAGTTCACCAGGTTGTCCCACAAGCCTTCATCTACTATTGCCTTCGGTTGTTCAGAAACAATACATAGATAGGCAGGCAACCAGCAAAAACGACCTCTGAAACCCGAGAAAGAAGCCCAGTTAGCCAGAAGCTCACTTCATAGCCAAGATAGTCCTGGTTCTTCCAACAACCCCAACCGAAAGGGTCAAGAAGAGCGCGGACAGCCTGCCAGCAAGACCCAAATGCAATAACAAACATAAACCCCATCTCCAAATCAAATGGTGGTACCTCCCAAAAGAGGCAAAAACCATGGACAACGGGAAACCCTTCAATTGCCCAAGAACCACCACAAAACAATTCCAGCGCAAATCCAAAATCAGCCCATGATCAAGATCATAATACAAAGCAAATAAACACACCATGGCAGGCCAAGCAATAGGAAAGAAAAACCGAGACCAAAACCAGGGACCTAAGCATGCGGCAAGACTTGGTTCCATCTTCCCTTCGGCCTTCCAACCCAAAGCAAACAGCAAGACCAACTTTCAGCCAGGAAATGAAGCTACACGCACACTCCAGGTAATGTCTTCTTGCGGCAAACCTCTCTTCAAGAGGAGGTGAGAACCTGACCCCTAGGTCATGCGCAAAAATCCAAAACAGCAGCAGCAAGAGCACCATTTCACAGGGTATGGTCTTCCATAAAATCAGTTCATCATGGTTCCACAATCCAGCCCATAGACTAGCCAAATATGTCCCTGTTCGTAGCATGTGCAATTAGCAGGTGTAGGAAGAGGTTTTGGCTCCTCCCTCATCAATAAAATCCATCCCAAAACAGCCAATGAAAGTATTGCAGCAATAGTGTAGAAGTTGCTGGCTAAAGCCACTGCACAGGCAGCAAGAAATGTAAAGCAAACCATGTTCAACACTTCCCATACCAGCTTCATGGGCAGGAACTACCCCTGGGCAGTCCTAACCGAATCCGTGCAGGCCAAGGATGAAGAACAGTCACAAACCAGCAAATTCAAGATGAAAACCTTCCACAAGAGTTATGCTTAGTTAACATTTCAGATACCATTGCACCTGCAATAAGGGAGTACAGGCTAGCAAAGAGCCAGGGCAAACCAAAAATTGCAGTGTTGAAGGAACAGTAACGAAGAACATGAACAGTGTCACGAAGCAAGGATTCAAAGGTGACCAAAATCCATTGTTTGATTCAGAAAACCAAGACCAGAATCTTGAATCTCCTTAGAATTCGACCAAGAAACCAAAGGATTGAAGCAATCACAAGCAAAAAACCTGGTTAATTCCGGAGAGCAAACCTCGTTGTGAACAGTGCTCAGAATCCAGAAAAATCGCTCAAATAAGAGGAGACATGAACTGGAACGGAAATCCAACTTCAGCCCTTGAAAGAGTAACCCAAGTCGCTCATAATCCCTCAAAATCCAGCAATCAAACGTGCTTCAACAGAGAGTAATCGAGCAATCCAGTGCCGCTGATGAACAGTGACACGAAGTATTTGACTTCTGATTTCTCCTCCATCCAACAACGAAATCCAGAAATTGAGCCTAGAATTGGAATCCTTGGCTCAAAACGATTCAAGAGCAAGAAGAATCGTGTCAAAAACATCAAAAATCAAGATGAAATCGGAGGTCAACCCCATGGATGAACAGTGTCTCGCGACTTGCCCAGCCTAGAGAGAGAAACACGTCTGATTCCATTAAACTGTGGTAGGGTAAACTTTTTATAGTGACTAGCCCCACCGCTTTCGCGGCCCCATACCCCAGAAACCCAACTTTGGCTTGGCCCTACGGGTTAGTATACACCGCTTGGCCCTACCACTTGAAGGGTTTTTTGGGGAGGCATAGTTCCACTGGCGCAGAGTGGGACTCGAACTCGAGACCTCTCCTCTGGAAGGGTAACTCCACAACCAGCTGAGCTGAGTTGCTTCGTTAAAACTGTGGTAGGGTAAACTTTTTATAGTGACTAGCCCCACCGCTTTCGCGGCCCCATACCCCAGAAACCCAACTTTGGCTTGGCCCTACGGGTTAGTATACACCGCTTGGCCCTACCACTTGAAGGGTTTTTTGGGGAGGCATAGTTCCACTGGCGCAGAGTGGGACTCGAACTCGAGACCTCTCCTCTGGAAGGGTAACTCCACAACAAAACTGTGGTAGGGTAAACTTTTTATAGTGACTAGCCCCACTGCTTTCGCGGCCCCATACCCCAGAATCAAGGGGTCGGAACTGTTAGCCTTAGCTATATCTAGGGTGCATTCTGATGTATTAACAACCATTAAAGAGAGCTATGACTTGGATAGTAACTTGAGTGGGGTTGTACGCAAACTACAAGGAGGAGAGACAGTGAATAAATACAGTTTCCAAGACGAGTTGCTACAGAGAAAGGGAAAATGGTCATAGGACCAAATTCCAATCTAAAAACCAAAATTCTGAATTGGGTGCACAACTCAGCCACTGGAGGACACTCATGTAGGGATGCTACATTGAAGAAAGTTAAGGGGTTGTTTTGGTGGAAGGGTTTGAATAGAGATGTACAGCATCACATCAGACAGTGTGTGGTTTGTCAAAGTTGCAAGTATGATAATAGTTCATATCCTGGATTAATGTAACCTCTACCAGTACCCAATGAAGTTTGGAAGGATATCTCTATGGACTTCATAGAAGGTCTTCCAAAATCTGGCAATAAAGAAGTCATTTTTGTTGTTGTTGACAGATTGAGTAAGTATGCACACTTCATGGCACTCAGTCACCCATTTTCAGCAGCAGAAGTAGCTCAAGTCTATTTGGATCATGTATTTAAGCTACATGGGTGGCCTCAAACTATTGTGAGTGATAGAGACAAGATATTTCTAAGTGATTTCAGGAAGGCTTTGATGACAGTCCAAGGTACTGAGTTGCTGCTGTCCACTTCTTACCATCCTCAAATTGATGGACAAACAGAGGTGGTTAATAGGTGTTTGGAGGCCTACTTAAGGTGTATGTGCAGTGAACACCCAAAGGAGTGGAGTAGCTGGCTACCTTTGGCTGAATGGTGGTACAATACCTCCTTTCACTCATCCATTCAGATGACACCCTATGAAGTGGTATATAGTCAACCGCCCCCCATCCATCTTCCATATCTTCTCGGTGAAACAAAAGTGGAGGCTGTGGATAGGTCCTCACAAAGAAGGGAGTCCATGATACAGATGCTGAAATTTCAACTGTTAAGAGCTCAAAGTAGGATGAAGGTGCAGGCTGACAAGCACAGATCTGAGAGGCACTTTGAAGTGGGGGATTGGGTATGGCTTAAGCTACAACCATATAGACAACATACAGTGCAAGCAAGGTCTAACCAAAAATTAGCTCCCAAATTTTATGGTCCATTTCAAATACTGACCAAGGTGGGTTCAGTAGCATACAAGCTACAACTGCCCCCATCAGCTCAAGTCCACCACACTTACCATGTATCTCAACTCAAAGCATTTAAGGAAGTCCTACCAAAGCAACCACATATACCAGGATGGCTACAGGGAAGAAATGTTGGAGAAGTTCTTAAACCTGCAGCAATTTTAGAAAGGAGGATGATCAAGCAAGGTTGCAGAGCTGTTGTCCAATACCTAGTGCAATGGGAAGGGCAGAATGTAGAGGATGCATCCTGGAGGGATTCCAAGGACATGGAGCGGAGGTTTCCTGAATTTTTCTGTTAATTGTGTAATGTCAATTTGGTTGTAAATAATTGAATAAAGGCCCTTCTCTTTAAGGGGGAAGGAATGATACAGGCATTGCCTTGCCACGCGTGTGTGGTGGTTAGATACGGTTAGATGGTAGTTGAGTTTGTTAGACGGTTAGCTAAGCTCGGGGGGGGCTTAGGGCCTTTATATACTTGTATTCAAGCTGTGGTTGGAATAAGAAGACATTTAATCTCATTTCACATAACTTCTCTCTTTCATTTCACATAACTTCTCCATCTCTGAATTCTCCTGCATTGGACTTTATCAAGTGCATCCCCATAAGAAGTTTCTACAAAGGGCTTGGATTTTGTTCATGACCTTTGTAGGGATTAGGAAAATTCTGCTCCAAAAGTTTATGATTCCATATAGGACAGAGTTAATAAGCTTGCATTTACCAGCACAGGAAAGGTTCTGTTAGAGTATATAACAATCATTCTTGGGCCACAACCACAAGCTTGAGCTTTTGGTTGAATTGGTTCCTTGACATGGTATCGGAGCCTTGATGACCAAGAGGTCACGGGTTCGAAACTCACCGCCACCCAGATTAAAAAAATTAAGGTTTCACGTGCAAGACTCAAAGAGGTCACGCCTGCACGTGAGGGGGCGTGTTAGAGTATATAACAATCATTCCTGGGCCACAACCACAAGCTTGAGTTTTTTGTTGAATTGGTTCCTTGACAGGTTCCTTGAAGCCCATGAGTTAATCTTGATGGTCATTTTTCCACCATTCTTTCAGTCTTTTGAGCTAATCCTAGATGCAGTGATAGGCCCCCCAGGTAAGTGAAGGGGAATTTCATTCCTTTCTTCATGTTAACAATCTGCAGCAGTTTAGTCTCAGCTTTGGCATCAATTCCCCCAAAAATAACCTCAGACTTAGTATGGTTGATGTTAAGCCCTGTGGTACCTCTGAAGTGCTGCAGAGCCTTCATGATACATCTGATTGTGTTCTCTTCAGCCTTGCACACCACTATAAGGTCGTCAGCAAAAACTATGTTTATAATCTTAAGGGCTTTGCAACGAGGGTGATAACCAAACTTATCCTTAGAAGCAAACCATAATAAAGACCTAGTAAGGTACTCCATGACAATCACAAAGAGTAGTGGGGATTCTTCTTTTTTTTAAGTTGTTATTGGAAGAAACTGTTGAAAAAAATTGGAAGAACTGGAAAGAGTTAGAAAAAACTTGAAAGAATTGAAAAAAAATTAGAAGTTAATTTTTTCAACTCTAAAGAACAAGATCTTAATATCCTAAATTTCAAAAGATAGATGTAATTATTATTGAGTAATATATCTAAATAGAACTAATAAACCATAATGACTTTCTCAATATAGGACCATATGTTTTTATTTTTCAATGTAGGACCATTGGTCATTATGTATTAGTCATTATTCAACTAAATGTTCAGCGTCACTTGAACATTATTCTTCTCACTAGTCATTATTAAGCCTTATTTACAGAATAAAAAAGTTTGTCCTAAATTGAGAAATACCGTACCTTTTGTTTTAGTCCTATTTACTGCAAATTTCACATTATTATTTTCAAAATAAAATAATCCATAAAGTTTTTGTTTGATGGAGTGATTAATACTCGTAATATTATTCCCTAGGGCTGGTCGTCCTCCCCCCATACGTAATGAGTAGTATATATACATCCATTATGAATGCACGTTCTCTTCAATATAATTGTGATCCATCTATATCTTAATTACCTTTGCTTCAATTCCCTCTTCTCCCCTTATTCAATGCCCACACCTATCAACCAACTACTCCATTGAAGAATATATATATATATATATATATATATATATATATATATATATATATATATATATATATATATATATATATATATCTTACCTTAGCTTCCATTACTTATTTATTTCATTTTATTAATTACCTCATATGTTAATTACCATATTGTCCTCATCTTATTGAAAAAAATATATTTTCAAATTCATACACACACCCACACATATATATATTGTGTTCCCAACTGCTTGCATGTACTTGTTTTTTTCTCATCGTACGGTCTTAGTTCACTCTGTTACACATTAACATCATCATATCATATCACGCATATATATAGTCACATATACACGTGTATATATATATATATATAGATATAGATATACTAGAACTGTATCATATAATGGCTCCTTCTTGGACTGTCTTTTTGGTGGGAACACTGGTGTGCATGTGGGGCACACTGCCGGGTGGGAGTTGCGGCGGTAGCGGCGGAGAAGGGGATTTCTTCTATGAGTCGAAGTGCTTGAAGGTGCCGGCGGCGGAGTTCGTGAAGTCGGTGAAGTTCACCATGGACAGCATCCGAAATGTCAATGCCACGGTGGCCAGGATCGCCAGCGGTGTTCAGAACTCCGGGGATTTCAGGCTCTCTACGGCGGTTTCCGACTGCCTGGATCTGCTCGACCTCTCCGCTGACGAACTCTCTTGGACTGTTCATGGTTCCTTTCTTTTCCCATAGTCTTTACTTGCTTTTTTATTACTCCATTATATTGTCCGCTCCCTAATAACTTTCTCATTTATATTTTATTTTTCAAAGCTTATAATCTAAATTCTAGTTACATACCGTAAAAATATAAAGTATAAACTATAATGATTTGTAGTATAAATTTAATATTATTAAAATCATTTTGAATTACAATTTTCAATATCATATCTTGATGTTACATAAATATAAATACTTCCCAAAATTACATTATTAACTATTCAAAAATTACGGAAATTTTGTTTACTGTTTTAATTGATTATTTAATAAAATAAAATATTCTTGTCAATTTTGTTCTGTAAGAGTATATTTTTAACATAATTTTTAAATATGTAAATTTTATATTTAACACCAATCTTTGAATAAAATTAATCTTAAAAATATGAGGATTCGCTTTGTTTTGTGTAAAGTGTAAAATATTTTGGGATAGATGGAGTATTAAAACTTAGTACTCCTGTCCCAAAAAAAATTGATTTTACTCCTGTCCCAAAATATTTTTCTATGTCAATATTACGTGATTTGGTAAACAAATTGAGAAGGAAGAAATACAAAATAGTTTTGCAAAATTTATTTTAAAGAAAGAAAGTGAGTACCCCTAGCATCTTTATAAATTCTTTCATCCTTATTTAATGTCACATCTACTTTTTTTGGTCAATCATAAATAATCTCATGGTAAAGAATTGAGAATGTTTTAAATGGAGGTCTCATAGATTAAAGGCTTCCTATATTGACTTTAAGACAAAATAATAAAAGTATATTCATAGTTGAATTTTCAATTTTGTCCATGATGTGATGGATAAAAGCAAGAGGTGATAGTTAAATTATTAATCAAAAAGTATGATGTGATAGGTAGGGTATGAAAAAGTAGAGGTAAAAAATGGTTTTTTAATAGAAAGTAAAAATGTTTTAAGAAAATGGAAAAAAATGAAAGAAGAAGAGTTTATTGAAACAATGGGAGTACTACTCATCTCACCTTCTATTAATGAGATCGAGGTTATAATTAATTTAATTCCCTCAATTTGTTTCGACTTTTAATGTTTGTATTGGAAGCCGACTATATTAAACATAGGGATCTTTCAAGTACTATATACTTCGTATAAACTTCACCTCCTTTCACTCTGTCTCTGATGAAAATTCAATTTATCTTCTTTCTATGACTGTTTCGATCCACCGATTTTGAAAGGCCTGGAACAGAATGAGACTCATTTTTATACTCTTTTCGTCCCAAATTTGATTATAAATTGGGATTTACAAGGCAAAATCTCTCATATTTTGAAATCATTTTATTTATAAATTGTTATACAAAAAAAATACTCCCTCCGTCCCCCTAAGATGTTCTCATTTTGACTTTTGGTAGTTTTTAAGGAGAGTTGAATAAATGTGAAAGTTTATCATAATACCCTTAATGAAATATGAGTGTAGTGTATTAAATGAGGTGGGTGAGGTGTAATAAATAAAGTAAGTAGGGGTAGTTATGGTATTTTAATTGTTAAAAAATGAAATGAGAAGATCTATTGTGGACAAAGAAAAAGGGCTATTGAGAAAATCTATGGGGAACGGAGGGAGTAACATATTAAAAAAGTACATCAAAATTCTACTACCTCCATCCTATAAAGTCCTCTACGTTTTAAAAAACCGTGTCCTTAAAAGTCCTTCACATTTCTATTAAAAAATAACTTTTACCCCTTACTTTTTCATAGCATACCTATCATATCATACTTTTTTTTCTAATAATTTATAATCACATTCTATCTTTACCCATCACATCAAAAAAAATTTGGAAAATCAAAACAAAACTATCCCTCCCTTATTTTATGACTTTAGTCCAAATGTCCATATCTTTTTGAGACGGAGTAAGTAAAAAATAAAATAAAAGATGATAAAAATATTTTATTTTTTTAAATAATAAATGAAAAACAAAAATAAACAAAAATTATTAAGAGAAAGAATGTAATCAAATTCCAAAAATCGAAGTCAATTTAGGTAATAAGTTCTCTCTGAAATTTCATTCATGAATTTGGGGAAATGGACAGGTGAAAGAGATAATAGGAGCGGCACCGGGAAGGCGAGCGAGGATTTGAGGACATGGCTGAGCGCCGCCATGAGCAACCAACAGACGTGCATAGAAGGATTCGACGGCACAAACAGCACCGTCAAGAATGACGTGGCGGGATGCGTCGGCCAGATAAGCTCCTCCGTCCGGGAGATCCTCGACAACGTCCTCCCGGCGGAATCCCGCCGCAAGAACTCCGGCAAAGGCAAGCACAGCCGCCACAAGTCAAGAAAGCTAGGGATGATGGTGAGCGGCGGGCAGGACTTCCCGGAGTGGCTGAACCACGATGACCGGAGACTCCTGCAGTCCGCCGCCGGTGTGCTGAACCCGGACGCGGTGGTGGCGCTCGACGGCTCCGGGAACACCACGAGCATAATGGCCGCCGTCTCTGCCGCCCCTGATTCTGTGAGCGGGAAACGTTATGTGATACACGTGAAGAAGGGAGTTTACACAGAAAACGTGGAAATTGGCAAGAAGAAATGGAATATAATGATGATCGGAGACGGCATCGGCGCCACCGTTATTACCGGCAAACGGAGCGTTGTCGACGGTTGGACCACTTACAGGTCTGCAACATTCGGTAAGTACCTACCTATACACATTTAACGTTCCTCATCATTCCATATTTTGAATTTATCGTACACCAAATTTAAACAAAAATTAAATTATATAGTAAGGCTAGTAGAGTCACAAATAAATAGTTCATAAAATTACAAACTTATTTTTTTAATATTTTTTTAAAAATAAAATGTACTCGAATAATAAAAGATATTTTAATTTAAAATCCACAAGAAGTTAGTTTGTGAATTTAATTAACTATTTGTTTGTGATTCTAGCATTACTCTAAATGGTATGATTGAAAATGATAAATGTGAGATAGATACTCCTTATAATGTACGAGTAAGTTTCAAAAAGGTTATGTAATATGGATAGTTTAACATGTGTTTAGGACTTACGAGTATAAAAAAGAAAATGTAAAACTTTTTTTTAATCAAAGTTTTAATACGGAGTATGTGTGGGACTGATACTTTTCTCAAGTAAATATTCAAATGGACTTTCGTCCCACTAATATGAAAATATTTCTGAAAGAAAGACTATTTTTTAGACTTCCATTTAAACGTGGGTGACTTTTGTGTTTTCGCAGCGGTGAAAGGCAGGGGATTTATCGGACGGGATTTGACGATCGAGAACACGGCGGGGCCGCAGAAGCACCAAGCGGTGGCACTCCGATCAGATTCCGATCTGTCGGTGCTGTACCGGTGCGCCATCACCGGCTACCAAGACACCCTCTACGCCCACGCGATGCGCCAGTTCTACCGGGAATGCCACATCTCCGGCACCGTCGACTTCATCTTTGGCGACGCCACCGTCGTCTTCCAGAGCTGCCAGATCCAGGCGAGGAAGGGCCTGCCGGGGCAAAAGAACACCATCACCGCCCACGGCCGGAAAGAATCGTCGGAGCCCACCGGATTCTCCATCCAGTTCTGCCAAATCACGGGGGACCCGGAGCTGACGGCCGCCGGAAAGGCCAGCGAAACGTTCCTCGGCCGGCCGTGGAAGCCCTACTCCCGGACGGTGGTGATGCAGTCGTTCTTGAGCGCTGTGATCAGTCCACGTGGATGGCTGGAATGGAACGGGAATTTCGGGTTGAATACTCTGTTCTACGGGGAGTACATGAACTACGGACCCGGATCCGGGTTGGGAAACCGGGTCAACTGGACGGGTCACCACATTATCAAGGACTACAATCAGGCCAACGAGTTCACGGTGGCTAAGTTTATTGGCGGCAACACCTGGTTGCCGTCGACCGGAATCAAATACGCCGCCGGTCTCAAGGAGGTGTGATTTTTCACCCACTTACATATACGAGTATACACTTTCTTCATTGTGATTACTTTGGGGTTTATCTTTTCTTTTTCTCTTTTACATTTGTGATTCATTGGTTCATTTGGTTGTAAATTGTGTTGGTGACATGTTTATTGTATACCTTGAAATGTTTTTTGTTTTCAATATATTGTGATGGAATAAAAAGTGAAAATTTGTTCGATATAATACTAAGGGGTTGTTTGACAACTTCTTAATAGGTAAGTGCTGAACGTCTGAACCATTAAGTGCTGAACCAGTAAGAGGTTTGAACTATTAAAAGCTAGTATATTGCTTAACTATTCAGAGGCAAATGTCTGATCAATTCAGATAAGAGGTCTTAACCATTCAGACTCTGTATAATACTTAACCATTCAGAAGCAAATCTCTTAATCATTCATACATCTAAACCATTAAGAGGCTGAAATAAACAGTCTGAACCATTAAGTGCTGAACCATTCAGACATCTGAACCATTAAGAGGCTGAAACAAATAACCCCTAAAACATCTTTTCTATGTCTTATTTTGTAAATAAGACATGTTTTCTTCCTTTTCTCTAAATATATTTGTTACTCAATATGTCATATTTTGAAAATAATATTTAGTTAATTAAATAACTTTAATAATAATGCCCCCTCCCTTCATTCCTATAAATAAAGTTCTAGTGTTAGATTATGATATTAGGTCGAAGTTATTTTAATTAATTTTATATAAATATCAATGTAGAATTAAAGAATAAAACTTATATATTTAAAATTATTTAAATTTTTATAAATTAAGTGGTAACAATACTATTTTATTCTTGTTCGATGTGCTCACACCTTAGAGAGAGTAGGGGGAGGGGGTGAATAAGATGTTCAATTTTTTTAGAATTTAATAAAATTGGTGTTTAGCAAACGTGGAAGAGTTGAAAATACGACAGATATAAAAATTATAAAATAAGAACACGCCAATTTATACTAGTTTGAAAACTCCTACTCTAGTATCTTAAGGTTCTTTCTTAAGGACTAACAAAATATACTAATTCTCGATTTCTTACACCTCGACAAAGTACCAAACTAGGTTAGCAAACAACCCCCTGGCCTTCCCAATTGGATTCCACATGGGTTTTACAATGGCTATCTTGAAAAGTATACATTGAAGATTTCAAAGCTATATTCAAATTAAATGCTCCTCTCAAGTATGTTTGAGGTTAAACACTTAAACTCGATCCTTTGCACAAGGATTTCTCGACTACTCTCAACCGTTACAATTTTAAAATTTTATGGCTATTCTTGACCAAAAAAATGTTGATAAAAAAACAATCCACGTAGGTATTCTACACAACGACAAGATTAAGAACAATACATGGCTGGTGTAGAACAAAGCTATATACAATAAGAAAATTACATATGCTAGACGAATCTGGGTCCGACATACACAAAATAATTGCCCATTTCTATGGCTGGGCCAGGTCCGACCCGAATCACATGGCCTAAAAGCTATACAAATTTCCGCCTACCTAGGTGGGTATATTTGCCCATCGGGCTTCGGGCCCAAAAATGCATCAAGAAAAAACATAAAATAAAATAGAAGTCATTTTAATAACAATTTTACAATAAAAAATAAAGTACTAGAAAAAAACCCAACACGTCTAAAAAAGAATAAAAATTAAAAAAAGTAGCTATAATTTTAACTTCATATAAAGCTATTCAGCATCAATATCCGATTTTCCCTCAAAATTGAGTACGTTTGCAAGTTGATGGCAAAATAACTTAAGCTCTTTTTCCTTAATTCCACTCAACTTATGTAGAAACAAAAATCCTAATAATCTCTCATAGTCTTTGAATTGTTCAAATCTCATCTCAAGAGAAGATATGGTTTTATCCACAACATAAGAAAAGAAGTTGCCTCTAAAATTCTCTTCAGTTGTAAATGAAACTTCTTCGCTACTTGAGCTCTCATCAACTCTTTTTTTCTTCAAATCAAACGCTTTTCTGGAAATATCGGAGATATATCTATTTTAGTAGCTATCTCCGATCCTTTGCTTCATCAATTTCTTTTGAATAACCAGATTCTCTATAATTCTTGAAGTACTCAATCAATCCATTTATCTCTTTAATAGCAATATCAAGATGCATATCCTTTGATTATAACTTCTTTCTCACTATATTTACATGGTTTAATATTTGATACCAAATAACAATTGATACCAAAAACTCAAATTCACTGATTTTCTCCTAGTGACTTTAATTTGTTGTATGAACAATTGCATTATCACTAGCTTTTTCTTCAACTTCAAGTAAAGCTTCTCGTACATCGGCAAGTTGCATTCTAATTGCCTTAATACTCTTCACATGACTTTCCCAACGAGTTTGAGATACTGGCTTAAGACTCCAACCTTTAAGATTATCTTTCGAAATTTGCCATCGACTAATTGAATGTGCAAAGATAGTATAAATTTTTTAGATGGCTCCAAAAAAGTTCCTCCCTTTAACACAACTTTGAGCCATATCACCAAAGCCAATTGTCTATGTTTACGAAGTAAGAAGGGAAGGGGCTAACCTTCTAAGGAGAGTGGGCTTTGACATAATGGGCTGGGTGCTGGGGTTTTTATAAACATATATATAATATATTTTTTTTAAAAAAATTAGGCCTCATAAAATCATGGGCCTGGTCCAGACAGACTGCTTGTCCCCCTATTAGGGTGGCCCTGTACAACATCAACTTACCAGTCCGATGAATGAAGCTATGGTCACCCTCCTAGACACTCATCAATTCTGTCGTGTTTGGGTGGAACCAGGCTTTACAGACAAAAGTGTAACAGTATTTCAAAACGATTATCATGTTTTAGAAAAAATTAGGAATGATCGTGTTGAGAAAATTTTAAGAAGGTGTTGATTTTATGGGGTACATATATCGGGTGCACCCCATTAAAATAAACCATAGTTTGATTATGACCCTCAATGAAAGGTGAAGGCCCGAAGTGGATGCATTTTACTTCTTGTTTGGTGAACTTGGTATCACTTAACATGATGTTGAATGTTTAATGGGTTTAAGAACAGACGGTGAAACTTGAAATTTAGAATGAAAAAAAGTAATTCAAAGTTTCACAATAAGAAACTCAAGGACCTCATGTGGTTGGCAGAGAGTACTATGTGATGTGAGTATTCCCACCCAAGACCCGACCCGTGTCGGATGCAAGAAGAAACGGCCGGGTGGTCTAAGAGAAACACGTGCCAAGAAAGTTGGGCCACACCAGAACTTGATCGGTGTGGGAGTGAACACCTGGGTGGTTCAGTACCCATCACACTACCGGTTAGGGAGCATGACTTTGCGGAAGGGATCCTTAGATTGACAAGGCATTAATTCGAGAAAGCATCCATGTGGTTCTTTGAGATGTGTACGCGTAGTAATGACAGCTCAGTGCATTGTGAGGTAGAGATGTGGAAGCAACTTGGTCTAACTAAATTCCCCTACACATGGATACATTTAAACATCCCAACCAAACGCTACGCGCCAAACGGGGATAGTCACAAAGGGAAACATCTAAGAAATAAGAGAAAAACACTACAAGCCAAAAGTGGCAATAGGACCTGTGCACTATCACGTGCGAGGCATGGGCACATGCTAGCCTGTCATCTAATCCCATTATAAACAGACTTGTAACCTTTAGTAGAAGGGATCTAAATTTCATCTCTTTAAACGTATATTGTGTAGTATCTCCCCGTACTCTTCCCATACTTAATAACAATTGGACTACAGGTGTTCCCACCTACAGTCCTCTCGGTCAACTCTTGTTTTTTGTGTATTTTCAGGTTTTAAACTCAGCAAATCACATTAGACCCAGTCTAGAGTAGTTTGTCCGGGTGGTAATTTACACTATCACTCTGAGTGTCCAAGAGTTCCAAGAACGTATGCAAGAAATTTGGGGTCAGAGTGAACTAGCATATCATATCTTGTTGAGATTTCGTAGGAGTTGTGGACACTAGGATACAATGGTGGTAGTTGATGTGGGATACTTACCACGAATAGTTCTGGGAGCTTCAACAATATCCTAAAAGGTTGTCAGATGCTTCCGGTGAGTGCTATATCATCATGTCGTATAATAAAATCGTTGATTTCTTTGAGTCACGACGCAGGTCTTGTTTTTATTCGCAACGAAAAATATATTATTTACTCCAAAAAATTTGAAGATCTCTAAAGAACGTGAAAAACATAAACAAATGTTTCAAGCTATGCATTATGGCAGAAATCAATATGTTGTCTCTAGGGCTTCCATCTCTAACCCATGGCATATGTATAGTTTTGCGATCAACTTTGGGAGTGAGCTGTGTACGTACTTGTGGACAATGGCAAGGAGACGAGATTCCCTGCGTTTATGTGCACTCCTTGTTCCATTCTTTCAGGCAACATGTGGATGATTGTGTCTCTCATCTGTATAGCTTGCAACGATATCAGATGTGCTACGCCAGCCATACTAGACTTTTGATATTTCTAAATGATTTTAATTATGCAGAAATATCCGATATTTCTGCCAATAAGGCAAGAAGGACAAATATCGCATTCCGGGCATCACAAGCAAAAAGGCTACCTAGGAGAAATAGGATGAGATTTACGATGGAAGGATAAGAGCGTTACAAACTATGCATGCTACATGTAATCGTTTTTTGTCATCTTAATATTCAGTGTATGTTATTTTTAAATATTCATTGTATTTTTTTAAATATAAAGTGTATGTTGTTTTCAAATATTAGTGTATGTTGTTTTTGTGAAATATTTAGTGTATGTAAAATTTAAATATTTTTTTTCTAAAAATTTAGATAAATAGCTAACCCATAAATTAATTTTCGTTGAACCATTTAATTTTTTTTTGGCTGATGGATGGGGTGGAGCGGATGGTTGATGAAATGGAGTTGAAATTATGAGTGGTGTTCACCGTACACAAGTTTAATTTGGTTTAAGTAATGTGTATTCAGCGAACACACTTTACATCGATAGGAATCTTTCAACAAGAACTTTCACTGATCCGTAATGACTCCTACCTTTAGTGTACTAGTTAGGTGGCCAGTGGTAGCTAAAATTGAAAATTTGAGACTTAATGAGCTTAATGGGCTATTTATTTGTATTGATGTTTATTAACTTATTACTGATGAGTAGTTTTAATTTATAAACTGTTTATGGAACTTTTTTTTTGTAAAATAACACAAGTGAGAGATGAGTTATTTGGGATATACACAAAAGGTTGGGGATGATTTTTTAAATGATTTGATCAAAACAGAGAAGCAAAAAGGGCATAAAAATAATATTTATTCTTCGGCCCGATTCTAGTGACACCGGAGAACGGTGCCACTAGCAGTGCCACTGCCTTTTTAGGGCACCTCCGGTGCTCCGTTCGTAAAATTGACGGTTCCTACCCCCCATAACCCACCCCCTAAACCCCCACCCTACCCCCACCCCTGCACCCTCACCCCAACCCCGCCGTAAGCCCCCCCACAAAATGTGTGGATTGCATAATAGCCACACATTTTGTGGGGGGCTTACGGCGGGGTTGGGGTGGGGGTGCAGGGGTGGGGGTAGGATGGGGGGTTTAGGGGGTGGGTTATGAAAGGTAACCATGCAAAGATAGGCAACGGAATATAAAAATTTTAACCTCCTAACATGATTATCTTGCCCAGAATCACGTACTAAAACAGATAGTAAGTAAGAAATTTATACCTTTCTCCGTAAGTGGTAAAAACGAACAAGTCATAGGAAGAGCATTGAAAGTGCAAACGTAACCGTTCAAGCGTCCGGTCTCCAACTTTGACACACGAACAACGCCGGAGTCTACCACAATCTTTATGCTAGTAAAGATTATAGTAGTATAAAATATAAAGATTAAAATTTGGGATAATAATAATCTTGTATATTTCTATAGAAAATATTTCTAATAATGTTTAGAAAATATTATAGATATTTTCTATACACAACATGATATTAATGGAACACTTAGAATAGCATTTCTTCTCTCTCTAAAATATGGCCGAAATGTTTTTTCCAAGAGTGATCAATTTAAAAAGTGGCTTATGGCATGAAAAATTTAAATAAAACAAAGATGTGATTAACTTTTCTCATTAGCTAAATGACAAAATAATTAGCCCACTCAAAAATCAATCAAAGAAAATTTTGATTCTCCTCAATCCCAAATGGCCGAAAATAAGGATTGTGATTGTGAGAAGGATTTTCAAAATTCTTTTCCACTTAAATGTTCAAAGTGTATTTTATTTGACATCAAAAATTAATATAAAATTAATTTTAAATCAAATAAAAATGCTAATATCATTTTTTAAACAAGTAAAAAATATACTTCTGATGGGTCGATATCCAGAGAACGGCCCAAATGAACCATTTAAACAGCTTCGGGTCAAGCACCTGTGAAATACTCAAGCTGGGCCGGCCCAAGGAGCTGGGCCTAGTTAACCTCAGGCCAAGCGCAGCTGGCAGAGTCAGTCCGGAGAAGGAGACGGAGCTGATTGGTCGTTACGGAGCCGGGAAAAGGGGATCGCGCCCTTGGCGGGATAGACTCCATCGGTTATGCATTACCTTAATTGTTTAGAGCTCATGTATAAATAGAGGGGACCCGAAAGGGGAGAACTCAAGCTAAATCAAGCTAGTAATACACATCCAATTCTCGAATTCTTGTTCTTAATTTTGTTCTTACGATCCGCTCCGTAAACCGGATCATTTGGTGGATTTATTGTCCATCAGATTGGTGCTTTCATTGAGACTTCGAGAATCATACTCAGAAGAAATCCTCCACAACGACGATGGTGCAAACACGTAGCAACGCCAACGTAGGTACCGGAGTTCCCCAACAGGGGGAGAACAGCGCCACCGGAGGCCGGCACCCCCCCATCACCACCGAGGAGGTTGAGGCCCTCATTCAGAGGGTTGGGATCACGGCCGAACAATTCAAGGAGGTGCTGGCCGCACTTGCGCCCAACCGCGAGGTTGTGGTAGGAGATGTGGCTGGGGGACCCACAGGCGAGAAGGCTGGACCTGCAGGCTCCCAAGGAAAAAAGAAAAAAGTGAGGCCACCGGGTATCATGCGAACAGGCATCCTGTTCACGCGGTATAGTCGTTGCCGGCCCCTCCTCATGATCGGGAAAGCTATGGTGTGCAAGATGCACCCAAATACTGCGAGTACCACCGTAACAGCACCCATAACACGTCGGAGTGCGTTACGCTGAAGAAGGAGATGGATCAGCTGATCGCTAGAGGGCCACCTCCTCGGTCAGATCGACCGTCCTCAAGTAACCGGACCTGGAGGAGGCCGCCAGCCCCCACGGAAGCAATCACAGCAGGAGAGGGGCAAGAAGATGGACGGCGGCACCTAGGGCGAGATTGTGACGACCTAGATGAGGAGGAGAGGCAAGGTCGCCGACACCTGGGGTGTCGGTTCATCATGGGAGGAAACACTGGAGGAGATTCGGTATCCTCCCAGAAGAAGTGGAAGAACATGGTGTACCTGGCCGAGGTACAAAGGCCACCGCTGCCTAAGCGAAAAAAGAAGGAACCTCTGATCTTTACAAACGAGGATTATCCCCCAGTCCTCAGCCCTCACAGGGACGCTCTGGTGATAAGAGTGGAGATCAATAATGTGGTTGTTCACCGAACCTTGGTCGATACGGGCAGCTCGGTCAACGTAATGTACAACAACACCTTTAAGGAGTTGGGATTGTCCCGAAGCGACCTGAAACCAATCCATACGCCGCTGTCAGGATTTACAGGGGATACTATCGAAGCAGAAGGAACTATCACGGTAAAGGCCGGGGTAGGAGATGGCACCCACCGACTCTGGGTCGACATGGAATTTATGGTAGTACAGCTCGACTGTGCACACCATCTGATTCTAGGACGACTAGGGTTGGAGGACATGGAGTGCGTAATCTCCCCCGTCCACTTATGCCTAAAGTTCAACACTCCCACAGGGGTGGGAGTAGCAAAGGGGAACTAGAGCCTGTCACGGTCATGCTACATCAGGGCGACCAAAAGCCAAGCCCGAGTCGACGATAATGTGAGCACGATCTATGCGGCGATCCAGAAGGAGGAGGGGCGACCCCGAGCTGAGCCGGCGGAAGAGGTCGAGGAAGTTTCTTTGGACCCGGTTGTGCCGGAGCGGAAGGTGAAGGTAGGCAAAACCTTACCGCTTGAATTAAAGGAGCAGTTATTGGAGGTTCTCCGAGCATTCAAGGTGCTATTCGCTTGGGGACCAGAGGATATGCCAGGGGTCGACCCAAAAATCATCTGCCATAGACTGGCAGTGGATCCGACCCACAAGCCGGTCAAACAGAAGAAGCGTTTCCTTTCCTCAGAACGGAGAGAGTTTGTCACCAAGCAGGTGACCACCCTGCAATCCATTGGGCACATCCGGGAAGTCCGCTACCCGGAATGGTTGGCAAATGTAGTCCTCGCACCCAAAGGGAATACCTGGCGGATGTGCGTCGATTACACTGATCTAAATAAAGCTTGCCCGATGGATCCTTTTCCTCTCCCCAACATTGATCAGTTGGTTGATGAGACGACAGGATGCGAGCTGATGAGTTTCATGGACGCATTCAGTGGGTACCATCAGATCAAGATGGCAGTGGCGGATGAAGAAAAGACCGCTTTCATCACCCCCAGTGGGGTATACTGTTACAAGGTGATGCCTTTTGGTTTGAAGAATGCTGGGGCGACCTATGCACGGATGGTGAACAAGCTGTTCGCGCCGGTAATAGGGGGTGCATGGAAGCGTATGTGGACGACATGATTGTCAAGTCCAAACGGACGGAGTCTCATGCTGGCGACCTGGAGAGAGTATTCAAGATCATGAAGAAGTTCCAGCTTCGCCTCAACCCCAAGAAATGCACATTTGGGGTGCAGGGGGGTAAATTCCTAGGACATATGGTCAGCCGGAGAGGGATCGAGCCTAACCCGGAAACGGTAAAGGCGATTTTGGAGATGGAGCCTCCGCGAAATGTAAAGGAGGTCCAGCAGCTCACCGGCAGGATTGCTGCTCTCAGTCGTTTCTTATCAAAGATAGCTGATCGAGCGGCTCCTTTCTTTCAGACCATTAAGAAGAGTAGAGGGTTCGTTTGGACCAAGGAATGTCAACGGTCTTTTGAGGGGTTAAAAGCATATCTCCTCTCCCCACTAGTGCTTTCGAAGCCAGAGCCCGGAGAGACCTTATTCCTATACTTAGGAATCTCTCCTCGAGATGTGAGCTCGGTGCTTGTGAGGGAGGAGGAGGGCGCACAGCGACCTGTGTACTATGTGGCCTGAGTGCTGCGAGGGGCGGAGTTGAGATATACCAACATGGAGAAGACCATCTTTGCGGTGGTGTGTACGGTGAAAAAGCTCACCCCATATTTTCAAGCCCATTCGGTCCATGTGTTATCACAAATTCCCATCGGAACACTTCTTTGAAGCCCAAATGCCCCGTCACGGGTCAGCAAGTGGGGGGTGTTCCTGGGATCCTTTCAAATAGAGTTCAAGCCGCGACCGGCGATAAAGGGGCAAGCATTAGCAGATTTCGTGGTAGAATGCACTGCGAGAGAGGTAGAATCTAGTGGAGAAGAACCCGAGGGGAATTGGTGGACCGTGTACACCGATGGGTCGTCCGCGACTGATGCTTTGGGGGGAGGTGTCGTGGCGATATATCCAGAAGGGTTCAAGGCATACTACTCCATGAGATTCCGGTTTAAAGTCTCAAACAATGAGGCTGAATATGAGGCACTGCTTTGCGGCTTGAGGTTGGCAGCCTCATTAAAAGCTGAGCGAATCCAAGTCCGGTGCGATTCCAAGCTAGTGGTAGGCCACGTCATTGGAGAATTTGAGGCCAAGGATGAACGAATGAAGAAGTATAGAGACACTGCCTTGGAGTTGCTTAAAGCATTTGGGGCGTACCGGATAGAGCAGGTTACTCGGGAAGAGAACGCTGAGGCAGATATCTTGTCAAAGCTTGGTCCGGATTCCCCGGATCATATTAAGGCAATGACCCAGGAAGAAGAGTTGCTCGAGCCAAGCATCAGTCCCGGACAAGTGCTGATCATCACACTCAAAGAGGAGTCGGATTGGATTGATGAGATTACCATGTACATCCTTGACGGGTCGCTACCTATCGACCCAATCGCGGCAAAGGTGGTGAAGCGACGTGCACCCAGCTACACGCTGGAGTGCGGTCGGCTGTATAAGCGATCGTACAATGGTACATTGTTGAGGTGCTTAAGAGCGGGTGAGGCACAGAAGTTAATGGAGGAAATCCATGAGGGAATATGTTCAGCACATCAGGGAGCCTTCATGATGTCCAGGAAGGTGACCCTACAAGGATACTTTTGGCCAACGATTATCAGGGATTGCGCAGAGTACGTGCGCAAATGAAAGGTTTGCCAGGAATTCCAGAGGATGCCAGGGCGACCGGCGACGAATTATACCCCGATAAGCACAGCGATCCCTTTTGCCCGGTGGGGCATCGATCTGGTCGGTATTTTGCCTCGGGGGACAGGGAACAACACATACCTGGTGGTCGCGATTGACTACTTCACCAAGTGGGTCGAGGCCGCCCCCGTGCCAACCATCACTACGGAACAGATGACGAAGTTCGTTTCCAAGCAAATCTTATGCCGATTTGGGGTGCCCCAGCAGATCATCACCGACAACGGAACCCAATTCGAGGCCGGAGGGTTCAATGAGTTTCTACAGAGCTGGGGCATAAAACACAGCTATGCAGCGGTCGGGTACCCCCAAACCAATGGGCAGGTTGAGAACACCAATCGTACCATCATGGACGGCCTCAAGAAGAAGATAATGGAATGCAAAAGTGCCTGGGTGGAAGAAGTGCCCTATATTTTGTGGACCTACAGAACTACCCCAAGGAAGGCCACAGGTGAAACTCCTTTCTCGCTCTCATATGGATTTGAAGCAAGGGCTCCAGCGGAGACCTCGTTGTTAAGTTATAGAGTAGAGGCGTTTGTTTCTCAAGGAAATGAGGAGAACCTGAGGGCAGAACTGCACCTCATTGATGAGCGAAGGGAAAGGGCATATATGCGGGCAGAAAACTACCGCCGGCAGGTCAAGTTATATCACGACCAGCGGGTGCGACCAAGGCAGTTCAAGATGGACGACTGGGTCCTTCGGAAGAGGGAGGTCAGCCGGCCGACCGATGGAGGGAAGTTTTCTAAAAGCTTCGAGGGGCCATATATCATAAAGGAGGTGTTGGCTGATGGGACATTTAGATTGCAGACTCCAACCGGTGGCGACATTCCGCGAGTATGGAATGCCGCCAACCTTATCAAATTTTATCAATAGATTGTATTCCAGCCATGTCTTTTTCTTGAGATTTAATAAAACCAGGTTTCTGGCACATCTTGTCTCTGATTCTCCAAAAAAGGGGGGGGGAGCGACCACAAGAGATCGCTAAAATTGCACGGTGATTCGTGCTAAGATACCCAGTAGTGGGTGAAGCGTCGAACCCTGTCAAGCGACCAAGGTTGAAGACGACGCCGTGGCAAGAAAGCCTGAGAGAACGGCTATGTCTGGAACACAAGATCTGTTGATCGCGTGAGCGACCAGGGGATCTTGGGGGTATGGCGACGCCACAAGGGTCAAAGTAGCCCGGAAATGGCTAAGTCAAAAGAGGCGAGGTATTCTCTGATTCAAGTCCGAGGAAACCTGAACGTCAAAAGTAGGATGCGAAAGAGAAGATGGTGAAACTTGTAAGTAAACAGGTAACATCAAAATACATTCACAGAAATGTTCATTACATTTCAAGGATAATCTCTTGCATCTGCTACAGTACAGTTGAGAACAATCTCTACGTAAGGAAGGATACTTCCCCATACATCTCTTACAATGAAAAACAACAATCTAAGACTTTGCGAGGGAAGGTCTAGGGGGGACAAGCAGGTTTGAAAGGTAGTTCTGCGGCTGTATAGGCAGGCAAAACTCCGATCACCGGCTGTCCAGGACGACCACCTTTTTTCCCCAACATGGAACGGGAGTGGTCGCCCCCAGCCTCGGCAAAAACCCACCGCCCTTCTCCTACCAAGGAAGGACGGGGGACAGCTCACTTCTCTGTGAACCCCAACCAGCATCACCTAGGCGAGGATGGAGATCCTGAAGCCGCCCGAGCTACTTCAGGTCGCCTAGGGGTCTTCTGGGGAAGTGAATGGCAAGCGGGGCGAGGTAGGGAAGAACCCAGTTCTTCCCCTAACACAACCTCCTCCGTAGGCCTCACCGGCGAACTGGTGAGACTTTCGCTAGTCCATCGCTCAAAACTTGCGTAGTATGCGCACTCATGCTCCAGGAGGGGTAAGTGCTCATCTTGAAAGCTCTCCCAGGCCATACATTGCAGGGAATGGAGGGGGCATGGAGCATCCCAGTCAATCCGCCCGTCAGGTAGGCGGTTGGCGGAGAGGGCCTCGTACGCCTCACTAAAGTCTTCATAAGGGTTTGGAGGTGGTGGCGGCGGTTTCACCGACGGCCACTGCTGGCGAGGCAACCAGCGACAGAATTCGTAAGGGTCAAGCCCCCCCAGTCATTGGAATTGACTGACTTGGGGGAGGAGGCAGGCTCCGGCGAAGAAGGAATTCCTTCAGACATGGCAAGAATGGAGAAAAGGAGGATATTTGGTGATGGAGCAGAGTAGAGGCTAGGGGGACTTATAAATGAGCCAGGGCGAAGGAAGCGAAGAGACGGTCAAGTCTCGAGGCAGCCGAACCAATAAAGCAGCTTTGAGCTACGCGAAGGTCCAATCAGAAACGGTGAAGGGCATTGGATCAATTGGGCGGCACGATGGCCAATCCAGAGATTGGGCCCGGACAGGTAAACGGGCCGGGACTAGGAGTTGGGCCCAAACTAAAACATACATGTTAACCAGCTAAATAAAAAAAGAGAGTGCTGAAGTAAAGCGCCAAAAAGAGAAAGCACATGGTGAATCTAGAAAATCAAACAACATAGGAGCATTGTATCAAAACGACAAATCATTCCGAAGGAAAAGAGAGAGGCAAGTGTTTGTAAAGCTATGGGGGAACAATGGGGGATTTAGACGGCCGAGTCGGAAGGTCCACCCGCTTTGGACATGGCTAAGCTGGCCCCTGGATTCTGGTCGCTCTGACCACCTTCCAGTTCTTCTTCTTCCTCTTCTTCCGACGCACTCGAGCTCCCCCCGTCCAAATAGGGACTGGGGTCGAACTCGGCCAAGGAGCGACAGGGAGGAGGGAAGCCAAGGTCGGGGAGAGAGAATCCTTTGGGGAGCTGGGCCAGCCTGTCGCGGAAGACCTGTTGGGCGTGGAAGAGTCCGCAATTGAAGGACCTGGTCCCCTCCTTGACCATCCATTGAGCCCCAGGTTCAGTTTTGAGCCAAGCGGCCGTTAGCTCTTCCATCCGCTCCATCGCGACCACCGTGAAGTCAGGAGAGGACTTGAAGGATTCTACCGCTTCCTCTGCATGGTGGGCCCGATCGCTCCTCTCCACCTCCAACTGCTGGATCAGATCAGATTTCTCCCCTTCCAGCTTGACCACTCGAGCAGAAACAGATTCTACCTCCGAGAATAAGAAGGCCTTGTCTGCCTCAAGGGCGACGCAGCGGTTCTCCTGGGAAGCTTTCTCCACAGCAAGCGCCGCGCAGTGATTTTCTTTCTCCTCCAATTCCCTTGTGAGTCGAGCGACCTCCTCCTGCAGCTCCTTCTACTTGGCCTCGGTTGCTTTCATCGCCTTGTCCGCGGCGGCCTGGCGACCCCGTTTCCGGCCGACCACCTCAATCATCCCCAGCGTAGCCTGCGCAAAGGGGTGAGGGTTAGGGGCATAAAGAAAAGGAGTGATGCATAGGAGATCAAGACCAGTACCTGACTGAGCCTCAAAAGGACCATGTTGTCAAGGTCGTCTTTGGAGCCTGCTGAGATACGAGCCTGGTCTTCTGCAGGCAGAGTGATCAGAGTCTCTAGCTGTACGTCCCCTAGGCTTTGGGGCAGGGGAGGGATGCAGAGCCTCGTCGAGCGACCCCCGGTCGCCACCTCGTAGGTCACTGCGGGTGGTGAGGGAGGTCGCTCCAAGGCAATGCCCTGAGACGACCCAACGAGGTCGCCACCCTGCATCACGGGGTGTGGAGGGGATTGGCCAGCCATGGTACCCGGTTCCTGGGTAGCATCTTCTTGGTCCTCCACCACAATTACAGCCGGCTCTCGAGAAGGACTCTCCTCGTGGTGGGATGAAGAACGTTTGCCCTGGCCCTTCGTCTCTCTCTTCCTCTTCCTCCCTGCAGTGAAGCGACTGAGCAGGAGATCGCTGTCCATCTCCTTTCCTGAATCTTGTAATTCCACTGGAAACAAAGGAAATGGTCAGCCTTGGGAAAAGATAAACTAAACATCTGGGCAAAATAAAAGGTCACCTACCAAAAGGACCACAGTCAAGACCTTCCTCAGGAATGTCCTTGAGCTGGTCAGGCTGATGCCCCCCGGGGATGTCCCTCAGTAGGTCGGGTTGGTGGCGAAGCTCATCCTGAACAAACTCAAACCCCAACCCGGCAAGGGTTTCCTCTGTCACCACCTCTTTGATGTTCATAACTCCCTTATTGCAGAATTGGTGAGTGATAGACAAAAGGGTGGCATCAGGTGGGGGGCGTGGGATGCGGCGGAAGGAAGGGCGCCCTGAACCCGTGAAAAGAGATTCGGGCCCCGTCGAAACGAAGACAAAGAAAGGCTTCCAGTCTTTGGTTGACCCCTTCTTATAACTAGCAAAGAGTTTACTGGACCTCTCGGAAAGACTGGCATAAGACGCCCAATCTTTATGGCCCTTGGTCAGTTTGAAGGTGAATATGAAATGGTCCAAGGTCGGCTTCACCCCTACATCTTTGCACCGGACCAGGTAACTGGCGATGTACCGGTGAGAGTTGGGGACCAGTTGGCATGGGAGAAGGTCCACCACGTTGAGGAATTCGATCAACAACGAGTGGAGTGGGAAGCGCAACCCCTTCTTCAAAGACGCTAGATGGACCGTGAAGAACCCCGACGGTGCGTCTAGAGCAGTTTGAGTACTGGTAGGTCTCATGACCTCGATGGAGGGTCCAACCATGTCAGTGGCATCGGCAAACCCCCGGTCAATAATTTGACAATGGCACAACGCCATGATGTTTTCGTCCAATAGTGTGGCCAGGGTTACGGTCAGAGGCCGATTGACCGACTTGGCGAGAATTGGACGATGGGGTAGCCGAATCGGAATCTGAGACAATCATGGCGGCGAGAGAAGGAACTAACCTGGACAGGAAGAAGAATGAGTCGGGTGAGCAGCGGAGTTGCAGACGAACGGTAGTGAAGAAGGCGAAAGAAAGAGATGGCATCCAGCGGCGGTTTTTAACTGACAACAGGAAGGCGAATCGGCAGGCCATGATTACTTATTTGTGGAGATCGTGCCCAAGTGTCGTGCGGAACCCAAGGAACGGCCCGGATCCCCGCTGGAGTGTCCACGTGGACTTTGCAAACTCCCCACTCCTCCGCTTGAGAAAAAGTTGAAGGGGTTGAGAAAAAGTTTGATAAACTGTTGGGAGTTGAGAAAAAGTTTGATAAAGCTGATCATAATTAAAATGATCTAAGCTTTTGGAAACAGAAAGCTAACCTGAAATGGATGGAAGAGGGGGACTGTTGTTCCAAATTCTTTCACTCCTATGTCAAAGCCAGAAGATCTAATCATCAAATCAGAAGCATAATGGATGAGAAGGGGAAAGAACACAAAGATATGACAATTATTAAACAAATGGCTATAGACTACTACTCCAAGCTCTACAACAACTCCAAAGATGTAGATATGGAGCCTGTTCTACATTACTTGGACAAACCTATCAGCCACCAGGACAATATCAATATCAACAAGGTACCAAATGAAGAGGAAATCAAAGAAGCTGTATGGAGTTTGAACCCCAACAGTGCTCCTGGACCTGATGGGTTTAATGGCTCCTTCTTCAGGGCTTGCTGGCATATAATCAAAGATGATGTAGTAAGTGCAACACATGAGTTTTTTGTTGGAGTTCCAGTCCCCAAGAGTTATGGAAGCACTTTCATCACTTTAATCCCTAAAAATGACAGTCCTAAAAGGTTTGGGGACTACAGACCTATATCATTATCTACATTCATGAGTAAGATTAATACTAGAATCCTTGCAGACAGGCTTCAGATGATTTTACCCAAGATTATTTCAAAAGAGCAAACTGGCTTTCAAAAAGGTATGGGGGTAGATGAGCAGATACTCCTAGTTGAAGAAATGGTTCACAAAATTGATGCTAAGATCAGAGGGGGAAATGTCATCATAAAGCTTGATATGGCTAAGGCTTTTGATAATATGGAATGGCATTACATTCTAGGCGTGTTGGATAAACTAGGTTTCAGTGATCACAATCAAAAACTTCTCTTAGCCAATTTGAGAAGCACATTCATCTCTGTTATGGTCAATGGGAGTCCTCAGGGTTTTTTCACTATGAAAAGGGGGGTGAAACAGGGGGATCCTCTATCTCCATTGCTTTTCATTATAGCAGGGGAAGGACTTTCCAGGATGCTTAAACAAAATATGGCCTCATCCAAGATTGTCAACTACAATACAG